TTTGTTGGCTAATAATTACACTATCATGTGCTAGATGGGCATGTTGCTTTGTGTTTTTTGTTTTTTTTGTTTTTTTTTGTATGTAATAATAATAACAGCAATAATAATTGTAGTTTATTTCCAGGTTTCATTCATCTTAAATTGTGGTATGTTAGTGTTGTAAATGTGTATTTGAACTGTGCGGGGATTGGCATAGTTGTGTGCGTTGTAGTGTTGGTTAGGTGTCTAGGTGGTTTTTTTTTTTTTACCTGTTTAGGTGTGCAGGGGGTGGCATAATTGTGTCTGCCTGGTTAGCTGTCTAGTGAATATTGCGAGTCTTCTTTTATGCAGGTAAGAAGGTTAAGGAGGTGCGGCCTGTTCTACGAGTGGGTGAGGGGGGTGCAAGCGATGATGACTTCGTTTCCCCACCTTTGGCTTTCTTGGCTAGGTTGGAGCAAGACCCGCTGTGTAATGCGCCTGAAGATTCTTCCGATGGTGGTGAGGGGCCTGTAGAAGAGGATGGTGAATTTCCGACTGTTAAGTTTCGGGGGCAGTCTGGTGTGCTTGTTGATGCGCTTCAGGATTTGTCTGCGCGACAGAAAGATGATATTAGGGGGTTAGGGTTTGGCCATTTGTTGGATTTCAAGGTGTCCGAGTGTCCGCCTAGCCTTGTGCATTGGCTCCTATCTAACTTTGATGGGCAGTCAAGGACGTTTGTTTTGGGTGGTGGCAGAGTCCTTCCTGTTTACGAGCACGACGTTGAATTGGTGTTGGGGTTTCCACGTGGCGAGTCCGAGATGGTGAAGCGTGAGAGGCAGCAGATTAGTAACTTGTTGAGACATTGGAGGGGGCTGTTCGGGGAGGTGCGGTATACGGTGTCGCTGTCCATGGTTGCAGACAAGGTTATTGCAGGGGTTGATGGTGGTGACTGGTTTAAGAGGCACTTTTGTATGTTGGTGCTATCTACGCTGGTTTGTTGTATGAGCAATGGATATGCAAATCAAATGTATTTTGATTGCTTTGATGATGTTTCCCGGATCCACGAGTTAAATTGGTGCAAGCTGGTGCTAGATTCTTTGGTGGAAACTCAGGATGCTTGGATTTCTGGTCGTCATAAATGCTTCGTGGGCGCGGCGGAGTTTGTTGCGGTATGATAGTATTTGTTATTTTGTGTCTTTTTACTGTTTCGTTGTGGTATTCCCTTATTGTGTTGTTTTTTGTTTCAGCTCTTCTATGTGGACTGTGTGTTGGCGTTTGAGCGGTCTGTCCCCCGGGTTGTGCCGTCTTTGCGTGGGTGGACATCTGATTTGCTGTTTGCTAGGGAGTCTGCGGAGATGAGTGGTGGTGGTTTTGGTCGGGGGGAGATTGAGGCTGCTGGGGTGGGCTTGAATGCTGAAGTGGATGGTCTTGATCATGGGCCTAAGGTAGAAGTGCACACCATTTTGTCTTGCTTGCACACCAAATTTTTTTATCTTCGTATTCGTGCTTTTATTGGTTTAGCACTGCATGATGTGTATGTAGGGTTGCATATGGTTTTGTAATCTTGTTTTTTTTTGGCGGTTGGGTATTTTGCGTGCGCACTATTGGACTTGTGTGTGGGGTGTGTGTAGTGTTTGACTAGAGTGTGAATACTGTTTTCATGTTAATGAATGTGGCGTCTTTTTGTTTTGTTTGCCTAGACGTTTGAATGTGTGGTTGGTGAGGCTGTTGGTGGTTTTGCAAGTTCGGTTGATAGCTTGGTTCAGTTTTTCAAGATGGCACGTGGTAGCCGTGCGGAGGGGGAGGTTTGTCGTCGCTTGTATGGTCCTATGCAGTGTCGGGTGCGGGAGTTGGAGGCTGCTTTCCGGCAAATTTCTGACGGGTTTGGCGTGGATGATATGCCGTCTTTTAGCCTTGGCCTAACTCAGGATTTTGCAGCGGCGGGTGCCGGGGGTCGAGCTGCTGATGTGCTAAACCGGCGTGACTCTGGTAATCTTATGGATTCGGTAAGCTTGGTGGTGATGTGTGCTGGGTTGGCGGCCGCGGCGAAGGAGGCTGGACTGACCCGGACTGTTAGGGGTGATGGTGGTGGGGGGGCAGGAGTGGGTGGTTGCCCTATGCCGCAGTCGCCAGAGACTACTACTGTAGATGAGGTTTGTTCTTTAACTTTTTTTTTTTCCTGGCAGTGATTAATATTGGTTGTCGTTATTGTGTGCAAGTATGTATTTGCTCTCGTGCTTGGCAGTGTTCTAGTGATGGGGGCGGTGATAATGATGATGGGGGTGGTGGTGATGCTGTCGGCTCAGATGTTCCGGAGTTTGCTACACCGACTGAGGTTTGTCTTGTTTATATCTCTGTAGAAATAGTGTTTCACATATTTAGAGGGTGTGCTAGCGGACTGCGATACATGTGCGTGCCTGTATTTGGTATTTCTGGTGTTCAATGTAGTGTGCTGGGTGTGTGCTCACATTTTGCTAAGTGTTGTTTGGCCTGTTTTTTTATTCTGCAGGAGCGTGGTGGGGCTGGTGGTTCCCGCGGCCCTCTTTTGTCGGGGGGGGAGGGGGGGCTGGGTGTGCGGCTTCGATTAAAGCTGTTCGTCCGTCTAAGTACCATGCGTCTGATATTCCTGTGGTTGCCACTCGCCTTCAGTATCAGCCTTTCGGTGTCAGTGAGTGTGTTACATTTCCTGTGCCTGATGCCCCGGAAGATGCGTTAATTGTGAATTGGTTGCTTGGGGGATCCGATGCTGACATGTTAGTGTAGTGGTTTGGTTTCTTTTGTGGTGTTTCCATTTGGCTTTTTTTTTTTTAGGTTTTCCTTTTTTTTTTTTGGTGATAGTTTGTTGTTTTGTCTGTGCTAGGGGACGTACTATATTTTCAGCAAGCGGTAGGTCGGCGACGTGGGAAAATTTTCTGTCACTAACGCCAGGTTCACAGGTTGATATAGCGATTATAGATGCTTGGGCTGCTGTGCTGAATTTTTTGGAGCATTCTAAGTCTCGGTCGGCCCCTTCACGCCTTTTTGCTTCGACGTTCACCACGGTTAGTTTTAGTAGCAGAAATTTCATTTCCCTTTTGTTTTTCGTGAGGTATGTTGTTTAATGTTTATTTGGATTATTGTGTGCGTTGGTGGTGGCTTGTGTTAGCTCACGACTGTGGTTGATACTTCTCGGGGATGGGATCAGAGGGTCGTGTGGTTTCGTGAGAGGCTAATGATGGACCTCGCGGCATCTCCGTATGAAAATATTATGACGGTTGACATGGTATGATTGCTGTTTTGTGTTCAGTCTTACTTTGAGTCTTGTGTGCATGCTTACCTATTTTTGGATGCACGGTGCTGAATTTATTTTTGCCTTGTGTTGGGTTCACAACCAGTTCCATTTATATGTCACCCTTCTGTTGTGTGCAGATTTTTTTTTCGATTCTACGACGTGGTCACTATTTTCTGTTGTGCTTTGATTTTGTCCGGTGTCGGTATGAAATTATTGATAATGACTCCTATCCCATATCAAAGGCGGACAAGTATGGTGGCTGTGTTGAGGAGTTGGTTAGTGTTGGCACTGTTGCTTCCAATTCATTTTTTTAAAGATTTTGTAACCTTGTGGTCTGCATATTGTCTGATTTTTCCTATGGTTTTCCCATGTGTAGAAGGCGATGCTGTGTGAGGTTTATAAAGATATTTCCCCTAAGAGGTTTTCAGATTGTGCCTGTGTTGAATCCAAGCGGTTGCAGATGGGGTGGCGTGATTCGAAGAATAAGATTGATTGTGGTGTCTTTTTAATGCGGCACATGGAGACGTTTGTTGGGCAATGGGTTCGTGATTGGGATTGTGGTCTGGTTAAGGGGGACAGTACGTTGTTGCATAGATTACGGTTGCGGTACATGAATGAGCTGGTCACATCGCAGCATAATGTGATGAGGGAAGACAACCTGTTGCGGGCGTACCGATCGATATCAGCTCCACTCCCTTCAACTTAGTTATGTCGTTTGGTTAGGTAGGGTGTGTGTTTTTGTGGTGTATGTAATGTGCACACTTTGATTCCACACTGGCAGTGGTTTTTGTGGTGTGTGTTTTTGGTGGTGTGTGTTTTTGGTGGTGTATGTAATGTGCACAATTTGATTCCACATGTTTGGGGTGGTTACTAGCACTGCATACGGTTATTATATGGTTAATATATGGTTGGTTTGTTCGTATGTCTTGGTCGAGTAATTGATATCTCCCCGTACGGTAGTGTGTGCTTTTTGGGGTCGATGTCATTTGATTTGTGTGCAGGTTTGTGTGGTTTTGTGTGCGCGTGTTTTCACTCAGCGTCTGACTATACTAGTTATGTATCCTTTCTGTTCACAATAATTTCTCATGGCTTCCCATTTGCTGGTAGTTATTTCAATTTTGCGTAATATAAGTGGTTGTAATAAATAAAGCGTTTGCTTCAAGTAATGAAATACGGTCCGTAATTGTAAATATAATAACATTCTATAGGTACCAGATTTGTCTATACCAAAGGATTACTCACTGCTTCCCATTTGCATGCGTGCTTGGCATTCTTCCATGTGTGCGCGGGGGTTGGTGGCTATGGGTCTGGGTGCGCATGTGTGTGTTGCGGTGTGCGCACATATAGGTCGTGCTGTGTTTGTGCTGCTAGCTATTTCAGTTTTGCCTAATATAAGTGGTGGTAATAAATAAGGTGTTTGCTTCAAGTAATTAATTACGGTCCATAATAGTAAATATAATAACATTCTATAGGTACCAGATTTGTCTATACCAAAGGATTACTCACTGCTTCCCATTTGCATGCGTGCTTGGCATTCTTCCATGTGTGCGCGGGGGTTGGTGGCTATGGGTCTGGGTGCGCATGTGTGTGTTGCGATGTGCGCTCATATAGGTCGTGCAGTGTTTGTGCTGCTTGGTATTTCATTGTTGCCTAATATAAGTGGTGGTAGTTCATTTTTTCCTACTAAATAAAGTGTTCGCTTCATATAAGTAATTAAATACGGTTCATAATTGTAAACATAATAACATTAAAAAGTCTTTCAAACATTCGCTTATGCAAGTTTATCTGGACAGGTGCGGCTGTTGTGGCCCGGGAGGTCACATATGTTGCATGTCCGTTCCTTTTTCTTTTGGTTCTTCGTTGTGGCTATTTCTTTGCTGCTTTTGAGTCTCTTTCCACTCCCTTTGTTTTTTGCAACCTGTGGGGGTTTTATTTGTATGTCGCTTGGTCTGCTTGATTCGACTAGTCTCTCAAACATGGTTTCGGTGTGCGCTCCCTCTTGTGTTTGGTGCGCCTCCTTTTGTAGATCTTTTTTCAGTTGTTGCAATGTTGCCAACATTTGGTCCATCTTGTCAGGCCAACCATTCGCTAATCCCATGCAGTTGTAGAATTCATTCCATAGTTGATTTGCAACTTTTGTTGTTTCATTCGTCTTGGTAATATTTGTTTTTCTTGCCCATGGGACATCGTATAATGGGTGTGCACACGCGTTTCGTGTCCATCGTGGAACAATATACTTTTCTGGGATTAACTCATACCCGTTTTTCTTCATCACCAACAGCACATGTCTGCATAGTATACCAACACGGTTGAACTTTTTGCACGCACACTCTATTTCCATTGCTTGTGGAGTTTCTGTTACTTCATACATTTTTCCATTTGTGTCCTTAATTGTGTATTTCCATATATCCCCTATGTTGTGTTTGTCGATGATGTCACATGTGAAACTGGCTTCCCATACCTCTTCTTGGAATTCGTAGAATATGTTTATAGTGTACACTGTAGTAGTGTGCTTCTCAATACTCAAAGGGGTTTTGGTTTCAGGGTACGAACCTTCATTTTCTGCGATTAGTCTTGCCTGCTTGTGTCTTTGTTCTCCGATGGCGCTGTTGAATTGTGCTATGAATTCTACTAGGCTGCAGTGGTGGTTTGTGAATTTACCGAAATAGCTATTTTCTGATTCTGATCTTGATGTTGTCCGGAGTAGTCCCGCCATTAATATGTCATTGAAGTATGCTGGTATCCAGGATGCACGCGCCTCGTAAAGCTGGGTAAACCACCTATGGTCTTTAAGGTTGTATTCTTTCATTATTGTTTCCCATTTTCTCTCGAATTCATCTGTGGTCAGTGTGTCATCCCATACGGTACTATTCAATGCCTTTTTGAAGTCCGGGTTGTGCCACAAGGCAACCCCTACCTTTTCCCCCACTTTTGTCATAATGTGCCACATACAGAATCTATGCCTTGTTGTTGGCATAGTTTGTGGTACAACTATCTTTAGTGCAGGGTCTTGGTCAGTTGTAGTACATCTGGGCGCGTATTCCATTGCAGTGTTGAACTTAGTTAGTAGCCACTCATATGACTCTACGTCTTCTTTCGCAATTAGGCCTGCCCCAAATGTTATGCATCTCTTGTGGTTATCCACGCCCGTGAAGGGGACGAAGACTAACTTGTACCTGCAGTGTAAGCATGGGTGGTGTTAGTGGTGTGATCGGCGTGGTAGTTATTTTCCGTCCCTGCAGTATTCTGTGCGCACACTTGTATTTCTATGCGTGCACACACAGTAGCTATTGTATTCAATCTATATTGAAATTTACCTGTTTGTGCTGTATGTAGCGTCGAATGACATGACATCGCCGAAGCATGCATAATTCCTTCGGGATTGTGCGTCTGCCCAAAATAATCTGGTTAATTGAGCGTCTTCGTCTATGTCAAAATCGAAATAGAAGTCTGGGTTGTCCTCTTTTCTTTTGAACATGTTTTCTATCACCATTTGGGCGTCTGCCTCAGCTATATAGGCCAATAGGTCTCGCCTAAAATTGCAGAACTCAATGCATGTTGCTCCTATATCTGTAAAGCTTCCAACCATCTCTTTGAATAGTCTGAACGCTTTTGTAGGGCCTATGTTTGCCTTTGCACAGTGAGCCAAAAAGGTTTTGTGGCCGATGTCAAGTTGCCTATTTATCTTTAGAAAAGGTTTGCTTGCGTTTGAGCATAGACAGTGTGTATGTCGCAGCTCGATTGCATGGACTTTGTATCCGCTTGTTTTACGCTTTGTGAGTACCATACGCGCCTTACATCCTGTCCTGTTGGACGTTCTCCTCCGTCTCTTTCTTCCTTTTGTGGTATTTTGGGGTTCTTTTGTTTCGGCTTTGTATCCCTCCCGTGAGCACAACAAGTATTTGATTGACACTTCCCCCTTCCGATTTCTACGCTTTGTGCCGTGCCTAACATCAAATCCTGCCTCTTTAGCGTAGTCCACGTAGAAATCAATCCATGTGTCTACTGTATCGAATTGTTGTCCTTCATACGGTGTCTTCTCGGTTTGTGTGGTGGGTCTCCAATATTTTGCACCATCTTCGTGTATTCCCATGGCACATTCTGTTGCACTGTGTCCGCGTTGGCCGTCACCTATTAAACACAACAAATATACACATTAGATATAGGGGGGGTTTGATTTATTGCGAGGGGGGGTGAATATGTGCACGGTAGGATCCAGCGGTGTGCGGGGGTGTGCGAACTGCTATTGGGTGGTTTCTGTGTGGTGCTTGCGGGAACATTGTTGTGTGCGCGACACCAGAAACGCAGGCGTCCACTTTCGTTAATCTCCTGTGGGGCTGTTACTATGCTATTACCGTTGTTTTCGTATGGGTTATCCAGTAGGTTACACCCTAATTCGCACAGTTATTGTTTCTTTATCGTGAATTTACATATCGATATACCTGGTATTGATGGTGGGGTATAATCCATGCTCGGCTCTCGGAATTCTTGGGTGGTGGTTGGCGGTGGTTGCCGTTGAATACCAGTGTGGCTGTGCTTCCTTGCCGCGGTGGTGGGCTGCCGATTTGGTGGTGGGTGCCGTGTCAGTTAGAGTAGAATCCTAGTGGAATTACTTCACTATAATTTAAGCATGTCATTATATTCATATTTGTTCTCTGATTAGGATTCAAAGCATTCTCGTTTTTGCCCTTTTGGTATCAGTTTAGTATTAGTATTAATGTTTTCTTATTTAAATCTAATCCACTAATCTAATCTAATCTAATGGCTCTTATTTGTCCTTAGGTTTGTATTTTAAGGGGGTTTGCATGTGAATGCAACCCTCTATATATATATATATATATATATATATATATATATATATATATATATATATATATACACACACACACTGGTAAATTGCAAGTTACCAATGTAATCCTAACTTCACCAGACTAATCCTAAGCTCACAGAACTCTACCCTTAGAGCCAATGCAAAGGTAAATTGCAAGTTACCAATGTCGTAATCAGTCCACCGATTAAATTATAGTCTTTAATTTATGCATGCACAAAGAATCCAATCCACACCTTGTCACCTTTCATCATCATGCATCATTTGAGCCTTAACTTTTCCATTCATGAATCATGATTCCAGTGAAATTTAAACCCCACACTCTACCGCCTTCAATCCTGACATCAAATTAGGCGATTAACACTTTTTTTTTTTTTTTTTTTTTTTTTGTTTCATATTGTATTGACATATGTATCCTACTAGATAAGATTAATCTAAGTGATCTTCAATTGAATTCCATTTTAAAGTAAAATTTTTTTATTTTATTTTTTTTCAAAAACGTTATTGCACACCCATTTTAATTTAATGGTTGTACACGTTTGCTTCCACTCAAGGAAGCTAGGTAATGGGATCCATGAAATGACACTCAAAAATAGTTTAATTTGTCTCCACCCTCCAATCCATTCTGTAGCTATAAATAGATCAAAGTACTATTAATCATATCAATGATCAACGTTGAAAAGTGAAAACTGAAGCTAAGCTAGCCCACTTTTTCCATAGGAATTGAAGTAGCTAGGAGCTAGAGAGCAAATGGCAAAGTGGTGTTTGGTTCTTCTAGTGATCTTAGTCACTGTTATCCCTGCATCATCCCAGGGAGAACTCAGAACTGGATTCTATTCCTCATCCTGCCCCCAAGCCGAGTCCATTGTTAGGTCTACAGTTGAAGCACATTTCAAGAAAGATCCTACCATTGCAGCTGCCTTGCTTCGTCTTCATTTCCACGATTGTTTTGTTCGGGTATGTATGTATGTAAGTTTGTCATTCATTTATATAGTTACAAATTAAAACCCGATCTGAAAACTTCATTATAATTGAAAAATTAAAAGTGATATTTAGTTGATCTGAACAGGGTTGTGACGGTTCTATTTTGATTTCGGGGAGCTCGGCCGAGAGAGGCGCATTGCCTAATACGGGATTAAGAGGGCTTGAAGTGATTGAGGATGCAAAATCGCAGCTCGAAGCTTTATGCCCAGCCACTGTTTCATGTGCTGATATATTAGCTTTGGCTGCTCGAGACGCAATTGACTTGGTAATCAATTAGAGTCCTATATTCATTCGTGTTTGCTTAAAAATTCTTTCTATATGTCATTCAATCATTAGTTAATAAAGACCCCTCCTTTTCGTTCTTTCGTTTTCCGTGACTGGTCATTCTTTAATACTTCAAGAAAAGAAATTCCAAACTTTCTTGTAATGTTTTTTTTTTTTTTTTTTTTTTTTCATATATGAAAAGCTAATGACAATGGATTGATAATAATTTAGATAAATATTTTCTTAAATTAATTAATCACATGTTTAACAGTTTAAGGGTATTTTTTTTTTTTTTTTTCTGAATAACAGAGTAGTGGTCCAAATTGGGGAGTGCCTACTGGAAGAAGGGATGGAAGAATCTCAAAATCATCTGAAGCCTCAAATTTACCTTCACCTTTCGATTCCATTGATGTTCAGAGGCAAAAATTTGCAGCTAAAGGTCTTGATGATCATGATCTTGTTACACTCGTTGGTAAGCATATTAAATTTAGGCAAAAATTTGCAGCTAAAGGTCTTGATGATCATGTTACACTCGTTGGTAAATTTATATTTATATTCGAACCCACGACCTTCTGATCCGAAGTCAGACGCGCTAATCCACTGCGCTATGCTGCTAGATTAAAATATGCATATTTAGTATTATTGAAATATTATGTTCACTATTTTGCAAAAAATACAAACAACTAAATGTTGACTATTATTGTCTTTTTATTTTAATTAGATTGACCATAGTGGGAGTCGAACCCACAGCCTTCTGATCCGAAGTCAGACGTGCTAATCCACTGCGCTATGCGGCCAGATTGAAATATACATATTTTTCAAAGAAAAAATTGCACATTTAGTACTAACAAAATATTATGATTTTCACCATTTTTTAGTCATCAAGTTGTTAACAAAATAACGTTTTTGCTCTTTTCGTCCTCGATCTTATGGAATTAGTTGACCATGACTACTAATGAATTTAATTTAGCCCTTATCTATTTTTCTCATAAATAGCACTATATCTCCACAATTTAGTAGCAAGAAATGCAAACCACTAAATGTATAAGTGTCTATTACCCTGGACTTAGCTCAATGGTTCAGTATGTAATATTTGAGGAAAGAGACAAATGTTTGAATTTAGACGGCGACATTGTGGGTACTGACATTTGATCTTATCTGCTGAGCCATTGATCACCGTAATTTACATCCTTCCAAATGTTCTGTCGAGCCTACAAATTTTAAAAGAATCATCAATTGAAGATGTTGTGACTAAAAGTAGCGATCTTATATTCACTATTACTCTATAACTCAGTGTCTAAAAGTGCAATTTTCACTTTCTTAATCGAGCATGGCTTAATGTATGCAGGTGCACACACCATAGGCCAAACAGACTGTTTATTCTTCAGGTACCGTTTATACAACTTCACAGCAACTGGGAATGCAGACCCAAGCATAAACCAAGCATTCTTGACACAGCTGCAAACTCTTTGCCCCAAAAAAGGGGATGCCTCAAAGAAGGTGGCTCTGGACAAAGACAGCCAGCTAGGTTTTGATGTGAGCTTCTTCAAGAATGTGAGGGATGGGAATGGGGTTCTTGAATCAGATCAGAGGCTGTGGGGAGACGACTCGACGCGAAAAATCGTGGAGAAATATGCAGGAACCATAAGGGGATTGCTGGGGCTTAGGTTTGATTTTGAGTTTCAAAAGGCCATGATCAAGATGAGTAGCATTGAGGTTAAGACTGGGACACAAGGGGAGATCAGAAAGGTCTGCTCCAAGTTCAACTAACAAATTAAAGTTCATGTAATTTCTGGACCCCTAATGTTCAAATTAAAATACCAATCACACATTTGCATATATATGCTTAATTTGATCAATACAATAGAGTTAATTTGCATATCAAAGCTGATATTAAATTACACATTTATATTTATATTTTATAGAAAAATTTTACAATATCGTGCAATGATATAGTACTATACGTCTATACGAACAGTATCATAGAGGTCATTGTCTTGTACTATACAGAACAAACTATTGTATCATATGGTACAATAGCTTGGCCTAGATTGATATAGCAACGTCACTTAATTTATATGGTATATGTTCATGACATTTAATTTTTATATACGATATTGTAAAATTCCTCATATTTTATATGTTATGTGTTCAACATGCCATCTCATGGGTTACAAATCCGATATGAACATAGTTTAATTTTAAAAATAAATTGAAATATGTGTATTATTTTAATTAAAAATTTAAACTAATAATTAGATCAATCTACATATTTATATTTTATATTTTTTATATTTTATATGTTAAACATAGAACAAGGTTGTTGAATTTCCTTACATACCAAAACCTCATTATTTGAATATTTGTAATGCACCAACAGGTCAATCCAGAATATAGTTGTTATACAGTGGACCATGATCGTCGAATGAAATGATAGTAGAACTAAAATAATATTTTAGTGTTATTATAATAAAATTAGTGTGTGTGGAAAATGAAATTACAAAATAGAGCACATTATTGTCAAAAGAAAATGTAGTATAATTAAAATAATACTTTAGTATTGTTATAATGAAACTAGTTTGCATAGAAAAATGAAATGAAACTAAAATCCAGAGCCATACAATAACATATATTATCAAATGACTTGAAGTACAATTAAAATAATACTTCAACATTACTATAATTAAACTAGTGTGCGTGAAAAATGAAACAAAAAAATAGAGCTCAAACAATAATGTATATTATCAAATGAAACTATAGTAGAATTAAAATGATACTTATTATTACAATAATGAAACTAGTGTGGAGGGAAAATGAAACTAAAAAACATAGGAATATTGTCAAATGAAATTGAAATGTAATTAAAACGATATACTTCATGATCCACATTGCTACTGATGGATTTAATTAGTCCGGGTGATCCGAATTATTAAACCCGATAGATAAGGAAAATAGTAAATGGTCAAGGTAACGGGATCAAAGTATGTCACGGAGACAATATAATATTAACAATGGGTTGGTAAGTGAATTACAACGGGTGTAATATCATTACAATAGAAGATTATGACAATGGAAGTGTATATCATGTCCTAAAGGGACAAAATAAATTCTTTTTATACTCAAGAGACCCGTAACCGCCCCCTAAAGAGGAGGGGACGGTTACAACCGCCTCTGACCGCCCCTGGGCAGGTCGACCGAGGCCTGACCAAGACCACGCCTAGGGGCTTGGCCGAGGCCTCGCCCAAACCACCCGGGTCAAACAGGGGCCCCAAGTCTTCGATGCCCCATTCCTCCAAGTTAGTTTTCTCCATTTCCAATATGTTCAATACCTACATAGACTATGGTCCATAGTAAAATTTGCCTCCATAACAAAAGGATGGTAGGAAGCCGAAAAACAACACGGGAAATATTATATTCAAGAAAATAAAGGCAAATTATGCCGTGCAACCGTGTGCATCATGCATGGTGTACACGGTTGTAAAAACGGTGTCATTTTGATTAAAAACGCGCATTCGACTTAAAAAAAAATCAGTTTCGATTGTCGTTAATGACGTTATGTTGTGCATAATTTGAACTATATATCCAGAATCAATGAACTATATATATATCCAGAATGAATAAACTATATATACCCAGAATGAATGAACTATATATCCAGAATGAATGAACTATATATCCAGAATGAATGAACTATATATCTAGAATGAATGAACTATATAGTTCAAATTATGCACAACATAACGTCGTTAACAGCAATCGAAATTGATTTTTTTTTTTAAAGTCAGACGTCAAAACGACGTCGTTTATACAACTGTGTGCACCATGCGCAACATAACGCTCCGAAAATAAAGGTATGTGCCTTAGTCCTGTGGATCATACTTTATCATGATCCCTAGTAAGTATTGGTTTGGACTTTGGACAAATTATAACGTGAATCCTATTCTATATTGGAAGGTGGATCGTGACACAAATTCATTATATTTTTAGTATATGTACTACAAGTTTATTCTTAGACAGTATACTAACAAAAAATTAAAGTAATCTTCAAAAAATAAAAATAAAAAATTAAACTAATTGAAAAACTTTAATGGGGTGTTTGGTTGGAGGAAAGGAATTACGTGGGAAAAGAATTGCAATTCTATGGGAGATGAATTATCGGGAATAAAGTGAGAATTTAAATATCAGTGTTTGGTTTACAGGAATAATATTACTGAAAATTTTATTTCTAATATTTAGTATACATGAGAATTGAAAGGGAATAAGTAGTATAAAGTCCAAAATGCCCATTATTTTGTTGTTGTCAGGCATCAATTTTAGGTTAAAAAAGAGATGAGTAATTTTGTCTCATCATTATCTTTGTTCTTCCTAAAATCCATGGAATTAAAATCCCAAAGGGGGCATGGGATTTTAATTCCATGAAAATGAGGGAATTGCAATTCCTTCCAACCAAACTAAGGAATTTAGTGGCCTTTGAAATTAGGTTGGAATTAAGTGGGAATGAAATTTAAATTCCTTCCAACCAAACGCCCTGTAAGTTCTTTATATAAACTTTAATTGGTGACGTATGCAATTAATCTGAAAACTTCACTATAATTGAAAATCTAAAAGTGATATTTAGTTGACCCGAACAGAATTGTGATGATTCTATTTTGAGCTTTAGGCCAAGTGAGAGTCATATATTCATGCGTGTTTGCATAAAAATTCTTTTAATAGTTGCATAGGTTAAAGATACCCTTTAATATTACATTTGTGTATATATACTTCACTATAATTGAAAATCTAAAAGTGATATTTAGTTGACCCGAACAGAATTGTGATGATTCTATTTTGAGCTTTAGGCCAAGTGAGAGTCATATATTCATGCGTGTTTGCATAAAAATTCTTTTAATAGTTGCATAGGTTAAAGATACCCTTTAATATTACATTTGTGTATATATTGAATATAATTTATGTTTTTTTTTTAATTGACCACAATGGGAGTCGAACCCATAATCTTCTAATTTGAAGTCAGACGCACTAATCCACTGCACTATGCAACCAGATTGAAATATGCATATTTCTCAAAGGAAAAATTACAATTTTAGTAATAGTGAAATATTATGATTTTCACCATTTTTAGTAATAATGCTGAAATCACCCAAGTTTTTTTTTTTTTTTTTTTTAAAAGGAAATCAAACTAAGGTTTTTACTTTCAAAAAAAAAAAACTAAGGTTTTATATGCACCGTATATAAATTACCAAAATTCTCCTTAAAATTCGAAAATGAAATGAAAAGATGCCAATGCAAATCCCATGGTCAACATGTTGCATTCTATACTCCACAATGCCACAAACACATATCCAACCAAAATAGGAAAATGACAGCCTCAAACTGTTCAGATCTAACAAAAATCATCCTACCAAATATATCACGTAATTACCTTGTCAACAATACCAATTAAATACAAAAGTTGTAACGTAAAGAAACAAGAAACATGAGAATGCAATTTATACGGAAAATAGAAATGAGAATTGAGAAATGATGAAAACAATTTTAGAAAAGGTAAGAAACAAAAAGCGAGAAAAAATGTTTGTAAATATAAGAATTGTAAGAGTGTATTTGCAAATTTTTGTTTTAAATATTACTCACTCCACATCTTATTTTATGGCTCTGGTTCGAGATTTGAATGAAATTATTTATAATTTAGTTTTTTATAAAATTTATATATTGTAATATTATATTACTAACACTTTTAAAGTACAAAAAAAAAATTAAAACAAAATAATAATTTGACTAATAAATAGTAAATAAAAAATAATATGAGACAAATAGAGTATAAAATTACCCAGAGTTTCAATGTATTGCATACTCATATGGTACATAAAAAATAAAAATTAAAAATTAACAATATTCTCTACTTTTTCCCTTTCTTATTATTCCTGTTGATAATTTTCTATGGCATATTGGCTTGTTACTTGTTGGTCTCATTGTCTTCAAGAAAACTCCAGGCCTCGAAAGCAAATAACCAAGTACGAGTGTACGATTACGGAGTAGAAGCAAAGAATTCAAGAAATATTCAGCAACCATTTCAATTTCATTTCCACAGTGGAGAAGAAGGTTAACCCGTCATTTACGCTCTAAGTCTGAATATTCGATTGGAGAATCTTGCTTTTGATGATCTAATGGCTGCTTCTATATCACCCTTATCTCAATCCCAGCGTTTTCTAGTGAACACCCGTTTGGCTGTACTGAAAAAGCCGCAAACCCAGTTTTTCTCAGTACCCATTCAAGGAATCCCTCAAAGCTCATGGCTTTCTGCGAGAAAATCCAAGATGGTTGTGGTTGTGGCTACAACCACCGCAGAGAAGGCGAAAAAGAGGTACCCTGGGGAGGCTAAAGGGTTTGTGGAGGAGATGAGGTTTGTAGCTATGAAGCTGCACACTAGGGACCAGGCTAGGGAGGGGGAGAAGGAGACTGAAGGCCAGCCTCTGGCTAAGTGGGAGCCAACTGTTGAAGGGTACCTGAAATTCTTGGTGGATAGCAAATTGGTTTATGATACTTTGGAGAATATTGTGGAAAAAGCTCCTTTTCCTGAATGTAAGTTTCTTTGATTATAGAGATTTTCTTTTCCTCTGTGTTGATTACTCCTTTTTATCATGTCTGGCTTCTAAGTGTATTTTTCTGACCTTTGGTTGCTTGATTATGATGTGAATATGATTAGTGTAGAGCATTTTAGTTGTTGTTTCTGGCTGGTTCATTGTCATTATAGTGATTCTAATAGAGTTAATACCCAATTTAGTCTCGACTACAGGTTTTTCTTGAAATCCTAAATGACTTTGTGCTTAATTAGGCCCTCGATTTCGATAATTTTACCTAATTGAGTCCTCAGTGTTAGAATCAATGGCTAAATTGAGAAAATCACTATAGTCGAGGACTAAATTGGATAAAATCACTATAGTGGAAGACTAACTTGGGTAAAATTACTATAGTCGATGACTAAATTGGGTATTAATAGAGGTGAAATTACCAAGCTATTTTAACAAAGGACTCAATTGAGTAAAACCATCAAAGTCGAGGACCTAATTAAGCATAAAAAGTCATTTAGGACTAAATCGAGGAAAACCACTACAGTCGAGGACTAAATTGGGTATTAACTTGATTCTAATACTTATTGTTATTTTTCTTGTTTCTGTTTAATTTTTATTTCTAAAGGTTTAGCTTTGGAGAACTGCATCTAATATGCTAAGTTAGCTGCTGTTAGTGAAATATTTATGCTCTGGTTTTTTATGATTAAACTGGCTCACCCCACTGCCTTTTAGGGCTCAATGATTTTATATGTTAATTCCTTTCTCATTCACTAGCTGCTGCCTTTTGCTGTTAATTAATTAGAGTTTTTGAGGTGTTTGGTAAATAGCTTATAGCTGTTAGCTGATTGGATTAGTGGGTTTGACTAGTTGATAGCATTAGCTGATTGTAGAAAAGTGTTTGGTAAATTAATTGTTAGCTTATAGTTGATTACATGTAAAATGACTTTCTCAAAAAGCTGTTTTGAGCAGCTTTTTGAATTTTAGCATTTTGGAGCAATAAGCTGTTACAAAAAGCTAATTATTGATTGTTTAACCAAGTCAAACAGCTAATAGTGGTCAAATAAGCCAAAATTGACTAATAAGCTAACTATATAAACTTTAATTGGTGCGAGTTTCTATTGTCTGCTTCATTTTTTTTTTTCTCCCGGCACCATATACTTGTATCATTGCAGATAAGTGAAAGGGTGTGTGTGTGGTGTTTCAGGTTAAGGTTAATGTGTTTCGGTGTTGTTAAATCTGCTATTGTGAAATGATTATTGCAAAACTATTTCTTCGATTCAGTAGATGAAGTTTTGGTACTTGGATAACACATGAAAACTTCTTTTTAATGCTGCAAGCCTCTTGAGTTAGCCCTATGGCCCTATGAAAATTGTGAGCAACGAATTGAATGAAATGTAGTGTATGTGTGTACTATAAGGCACTGAAGATTGAGGCGAGCAAAAACAAAAAAAGTTTGAAGCTGAGCTGATTTGTACTGTTAGTGTTTAAATTATACTGGAAAAGGTTGAGTGTAAATTTGAGGAAGACAAAACTCAAGAACCTCTGATACCCTGCCTTCTTGAGTTGATCACTGGATGATAAATTTACAAGCTTTATCAGTCCCGGGTAAATGAACGATTTTGTGTGTATGTATGTATGTATGCAAATGTTTAATAAACGTTGTACTTTGGATTCAGATGCTGAGTTCAGGAACACGGGATTAGAAAGGTCGGAGAGCCTGGCTAAAGATTTGGAATGGTTTAGGCAGCAAGGTTATGCCATCCCGGAACCTTCAACTCCCGGTGTCAGCTATGCTCGTTATCTTGAAGAGCTGGCTGAAAAGGATCCTCAGGCGTTCATTTGCCACTTTTATAACACATACTTTGCACATACGGCTGGCGGTCGCATGATTGGGAGAAAGGTGAGGTCTTATCATGATCGTAACGAATTGATTTACGCACGTTAGACACGTCGTTTTGTTATACTAAACCCGAACTTCATCTAAGAGTCGGGGGAAAATGTTGAGATGCTTTGCAACTTCTTCTTGCTCTATTCAGGTGTCTGAAATGATACTCGACAACAAAGAGCTGGAGTTCTATAAATGGGATGGCGACGTTAAACAACTGCTGCAGAATGTTAAGGACAAGCTGAATAAAGTTACCGAAGTAATATCCTAAATGCTCTTCTCGACTTGCCAAATTGACATTACTTATTGTGCTGTGATGCCCTTACCATTCTTTCTGTCTTTGAATTGATCATTTTTTGTATGTTTTTTCTTTGGCAGAGCTGGACTAGAGAGGAGAAGAACCATTGCTTGGAAGAGACCGAGAAGTCATTCAAGTATTCCGGGGATATTCTCCGCTTGATACTGTCATAATGCATGGCCATTAAGCTTTGGGCTATTGTGCATAAACTTTGTTTGAGTCTTACATACATTATCGATCAATGCTATACCTCTGATCAAACCCGCCATTTGAATGATCCCAGGTGAAATTGTCTCATTTGTAATATGTAAGATCAGAAACATGTATGGCACAGGTTTGTGTGGTCCTGGTTTTGTTGTTGTTCATTCTGGTGTTACTTGGAGGTCTTGCTGCCAGTCAATCGCGTGGTTATGTATGTACTATGATTTTTTTTTTTTTTTTTTTTTTTTTTTTTTTTTGTGAGTGACGAGAAACCCCGCATTTACTATCCAATAGTATATGTAGTGGCTAAAACTTGCTTTGTGATTTTTACCGGTATAAACCAAGCTAAGGATTGACAGTGTAGGTTGGGAGTAACCTTTCAAAATGAAGGGAGTTCTTTGGGCGTAGTGAGTAAAAGTCTAGACTTTATTGGTTAGTTGAGTCATTATGATTTATCTCTCCACAAATTGTCGGCCTGAAGTGTGGGGGCGTTTGGAGTGGACAATTCCACCTATTTGTCACAAGCTTATGTTGTTCATTGTTCGACAGGATCAAACCAAAAAAGTTGTCAATGAATCATTCTTACGGGTGGTCGAAATTTGTAATCTTGTGCTTATCAAGTGGGCTGTCCCATATTGTACTCCCCTTATTTTCAGACTATTAGATGCTCTTGTTTTGGGTGGTAAATATCCTTTAATTTGTTCTCTCAACTCCAATTTGGAATGATTAAGTACCAAAAACAGGTAGAACAATATAAAGGCAGTATTATTGAAGTAGTAGTTATAGATAATAAATCTATCTCTATATAAATAGTTGCAGATGGTACGGTAATAATTTTTAATGACAATATTTTTTTCTACTACAGTACTACACATACTATTTTCCTAACCAACTTAATAATATGGCTATTTTTTTTTTTTTTTATAATAATCATACATACATATTTATCTCAATTAGTACGGATCCATTATTTCATCAACAATTCAACATATTAACTATTGCTTTTTAATATATCACGTAAAGGTTCACACCTTTTATAGTCTTTTACCTCCTCCAAGAAGAAAAAGAATAGAGTTGAAATGAAACATAAAAAATGCATGCTTATCAATATATACTAATGAAGTAGGTAATAAATATACGAACTGGATGGTATTAAACTAAAACAAAAAGTACTACACATTATTTTCTTAACCAACTTACCCTATTAATATAATGCGGCTTTATTTGATTAATAATTCGTAATGATATTTATGTTGGACAATGGCTCGAAAATTAGCATCATGTCATTGAAACATAGGGCTTACTGTTATACGAGTATAAGAAAATAAAGTTGCACCGTTTCTATTAGTTATAATTTTAATATAATAGTAAGTACTTGATTTGACAATTAGTATTAGATCAAGACACAAGTTTAATGCAGTGGTAAACGCTTGATCATCATGAGTTCATGACAATTGATTTATTCATAAATACTCAATATAAAATGTTATAATACTTATCATACTCCATGTTAATAAATGCATATTTGGAGTACATATTTTGAGTTAACCTATTCTTTTGACTATGAAAACTCGCAGTCACTATCGGTGTGTATTACTAGGTAAACCCTACCTTTTGATTCTAACCAACAAAGGATCATAAGGGAGATAAAGTAACTTAATTTGTTCATAATTGACGAGCTCAAATAAGAATGGCAAGAATACCAATAGGATGCTCACACTGAGAGTCAAACTTGTAACATTGAAAGTAATATTTTCGGTTGTCCGACACAAGAAAAATGGGCAAACATTAGGTATACGATTCAATTGCCAAGTGACATTGGGCTTGACAACTGATAATTGAGAAATATATTTATAGTTGTAGGTTTCAAACATTCAACTATAAATATTAAGAGACGGCAAATAGAAATTCATCAGTCATCGTCTAATAGGTGGATTTGAAGCAGCCATGAAAATGGGTGGAAAGCTCTCAATACTTCTCCTTCTTGCCTTCTTCTTCTTCTTCTTCTTCTTCACCACATCTACAGCTTCAAGAGATGTTTCAGAACTGCCCCACTTTAACAGGTCTTTCACTGTCAAAGCCAACCCACAGGTAAACTCATAAAATCAAAATTATTAATCCCATAAAACTATAGAGAAAAAGGAAACCCGGGCCATTTTCATGATCCTTTTTTTGGTTTATTCAGATTGGTGCAGCCCAGTGTTCATACACAGTGGACATCAGAACAAGCTGTTCCTCAGTAAAATACACTAGAGATCAAATCAGCCTTTCATTTGGTGATGCTTATGGCAATGAGGTAACTAAACCCACCCTATTTGACTTTTTTCTTTATTTTTGGTTGTGGTCTTTTTTCTTTTTTCTAGTGGTGAGGGATCTGCAACCCGTACTCGAGATTGTGCATGGGTAAACTCTGTCTTGTGATTTTAGCTGGCATTTTTTATAAACCCGGCCTTTTAGTCCTAGTTGACATTTTTGGTAAACCTGACCCCCTTTTGGCCCTAACTAGCATTCTTTTGTAAACTTCTGGGTCTTTCTGGCCCTAGTTACAGCTAGCAGGTTTGATAAATCCGGCCTTATGATCTTAGCTGGCATTTTTGAGTGCGGTCTTGAAAACATAGAATATAATGTGTAAATGCAGGTATATGCAGCAAGAATTGACGACCCAGATTCGGACACATTCGAGAGATGCTCCAAGGATACATTCAAGATTAGGGGGCCATGCATGGATCAGGTGTGTTATCTGTATCTATACAGGGTGGGATCGGACGGCTGGAAACCGCAGACGGTGACTGTGTACATCTCTGCTCGCAATTATGTTACGTTTACATACAACAGATTTGTGCCCAGAGGAGTGTGGTATGGCTTCAATCACTGCAATAATGCTGCGTCCATCTCAACTGTTGTGTAGAGAAGACACAACCGAGTTGGATCGGAGCAAGACGAGATTGATTGCTTATTATGTATGTGTACACGAATGAGTGCATTTTTATGAATTTGGAATAAGTTTTCGTGTGGACTATATTGTTAATTTCAAAACAAGGATTTAATTTATTACAATTACATATATATATTTATGTCATCTTTTCTTTGTTGGGTTGCTTCAATTCGAAACCATAATATCTTACGGTTTAAATTATGACATTTTAACAACTAAGTTAAGTTCAATGGTACCCGGGTTGGACTTCCACTTGGAAGATTATGAGTTCAAGCCTCAGTGGAGGCGTTATTGATTATTTGTGTTTCAGTAGGTTGAGAAAGTATATGAACAGATACTACAATGTAATAGAGTCAATAACTTTCAAAAAAAAGTTAAGTTCAATTTTCAATAGGACGAGTCTATTTGACAGAGCTTATATTTTGTTGGGAAAAGGGTCAAATACACCCTCAAACTTTAGGTAAGAAGTTAATTAGGTCCTCGAACTTTTGAAAGTTGCAATTAGACACATTAACATATGAATTTAGTGCATAGAGACCCAAAACTCTAGTGACCTGCAATACCAGGTAAATGTACCGGCAGAGCTCCGGCAGCTTTCCAGCGAAACGTGACAAGCAGGTCGCCGGAAATTTATGGGGATTTAGAAGAAATTCGAGAAGAACAGGTAGAGTTTTATTTATTACAATAAAAATCAAATCTTGCGAGGAAGGGGATGGATTTTGGCGAACAGTTGAGTGCGTTGAATGCCCAACGTAACAATGACAGGAGACTTCCGGCGACGATCACTCGCACGTTCGCTGATGTAGTGCACAATTAGCAACAGAAAACAATAGTTAGTCAAAACATCATATCAGATTTCCAGGGATTCAAGATCAACAGAGAAATCAAGCAACTCCAGGAAATAGAAAAAAAAAAAAATCAAGAGCAATTGCATCAAGGCAAGCGTATTGTACAAATTACGAAGGAGGACTGGAGAAAATTGGCAAAACATGTGTTGATCCGGTTTGAGTCTGAGAAGGGGTGCAATTTTGTTTTAGCAAAAAATCAAGGAATAATTGAGGGTAGGAGTGTTCGATTTACTAGATAATCGCCGGCATGAAATGCGCGTCGCGATTTGCTAGTTGCAGAGGCGAATTGTCACGCAGTCAACCACCGTCCCATCCCCCATTCGCAGCATCCGTAGCGCAATTGGAATTTGGAAAATAAACCCAATTCTTTTCCTTTCAGACAATTGGTGCAATTGGCCCCACCCTCAACAATCACCAAATTATTTTGTGCGAGCTGCTTGTTACTTTTTCGCCGGAAAGTCACCTGAGCTCCACTGGTAAATTATTGACCTGTTATTGCAAGTCACTATTAGGGTTTTGGACCTTTATGCACTAAATTCATATGTTAATGTATCTAATTGCAACTTTCAAATGTTCGAGGGCCTAATTGACTTCTTATCTAAAGTTGGAGGGTGTATTTGACCATTTTCCCTATTTTGTTTTAAGCTATAAGCTATTTGATAGAGCTCATCTTTGTCCTTATTATTTGAAAGAAATGATATCTTTTACTTTTCCTAATCAAAATCCTTTTCTCTTCTTCTTTATCTACAATTTTCACCGCAATTATTATTATTATTATTATTATTATTATTATTATTATTATTATTATTATTATTATTATTATTATTATAACATTTTCCCCCCTGAGTTATATACTTATATCACTTTTTTCCCCTAAATTATTCAAGTGACTGTTTTTTCCCCTGAAATGTTAAATGGACATATTTACCCTTAAAATAAATATTTCATTTATTTTTCTTCTCCAACAAATTATGACCACAATTTGGTTCAAACTAAACAGACACTATAGAAACCAAACTGAAATATTTCAATTACAATTTAGAATCGAAACCCGATATTTAGAGTTTATTAAAATCGCGAACCAGAATGGCCGCTTCATGTTCCGAACTGAAAAAAAATACATTTATTATTGAATTTAGACTATTTTAAAATAACGACGGTTCAAAATCGCGAACCGAATCCGGAACCGCCGATTCACGATTCATGAAACTTTTAATTCAATTGCTATAGTGTCCGGTTCAGTTCGAATCGAACCGTGGTCATCCCTATGTATACGAAATAATTTGTTGGAGAAGAAAAATAAATAAAATGTTGTTTACTTTAAGGGTAGAAATGTCAATTTAATATATCATGGGGGAAAGCCGCCACTTTTAGAATAATTGAGGGGACTAATGTGCT